CGCGCCTCCATCATGTTTGCCAATACTTGTCCATCCCTGCCCTGACGGAGCTGCTTGGCACACGTTGTCTAATTATAGGCCATTGGATGGACTATGTCTAATGGTTAATGGTGTCTGATGTGCTTCGCCAGGATTCCGCTGCTTTCTGTACCGGGGGCCAGTGGTGGTCTTGGTCACAATGAGTCACTCTTACTCTTCTCGATATGTGTGCTGGGTTCTTTCTTTAACATGCAGGGTTATAAACTTAGCCGATGGCTCAACTCCCTGGGGTCGTGTGACGTAGAGGCAGAGTGCGCGACTCGAGCCCGGTCTAGGTAGGGTTAATACAAGACTGTCGTTGAGTATGATAAACGGATATAATTCATGAATATGAGCATCCTTTTTGCACAATCAGTCATAAAGATGAACATTTTTTGGCGAAGGTATGAGTTCGGGGAACTCCAGTTTATGTTGTAACATGCTTGTTCTTATGTTAACCTTTGCAGGGCAGAACTGGAGGGGGCGGTCGCTATTTACTAGTAGTTTGTTAAGTTAGACCTTGTGACGACAACCATCATGCATTTATTACTTTAAAGAGCAACCTTACTATAGTTTCTACAGGGGGCAAACGTGTGAAGGGAAACATATGGTCTCAGTGTCCTGTTTCTTCATCCCTGCCAAAGAAATAAAGTCAGCGACCTGGTTTAGACGTACGTCTGGCACCATGGTAACTGGTAATGTGCCAGATACTCTATGGTATTAGGTTACGTTATGTAATAGGGCAGAGTTGGAGGGGCTGCTCAGCATACACATAGTAGTAAATGTGGTAGAGTAACAGTGAGGTATTTATCAGGTGCGAGTTCTGGCATCGGGAGGGGGACAGCTGTGGAATTTGCTCTCCTGGGAGCGCACATGACTCTGACTGGGAGAAACCAGGAAAACCTACAGGCCACAGCAAAGGCCAGTGTGGAGGCAGGGACTCCAGAAGACAAGGTATTTGTTAACCGTCTGTTTCACGCAGAGGTATTATTTTTAGTGTGTCTCTTGGCTTATGCTGGTCACGTTCACGTCTTGACAGGAACGGTCCAGGGTTAGAGACAGAAATCGTAATTCATAAACTCTGAGATAACTGATAGACATTGCAGGTCACGGGATCAACTAACGTGTCTACTGCATCGGTATAGTCGGTATAACCGCCCTTTGGCGTAACACACCAGCTTCGTAGGCATGCGGCAGCTGGCTACATTACACTGAACGACTTGTTACACTCAATCTATGCTCATTCAATTGCAGGAGCTGTTTAAATCTTTTTAGTGATTATGCACAAACTGTGCTTGGTAGCAACGATTTCCACTCTGCGATTGTTCTTGATATCTATTTTGAGCTAGAATCTTATTGTTTTTCTTTCCGCCCCAGATTCTAGTTGTAACAGGAGACATCTGTAATGATGAATTAAGGAAAAACCTGGTGGATCAGACTGCACAGAAGTTTGGCAGGATCGATGTCCTGGTAATGAATCTATCAATATTCGCGGTGTTAAAAACTCAATATGAGTTCCCGTTTGAATTTCGCCGTATCTAACTAGATCTTCTTTGTTCAAAACTACAAACTTCGTAGTACATACCTTTTACATTGTTACAATTACGTTCTATGGTACACATCACATGATGGAGACGTGTTGTCATTGTATTTGGCCTTTAACTTTTGCGTATTCCCCTCAACGTTACAATACAAACCATTAAACATGTTATCCACGTATATACTAAATTTTACATACTTTTCATTTAGGTAAACAATGCCGGCATCTTTACGTTTGGTTCTATAGAGACAACAGACATGGCGGTCTATGACAAGATGATGGATGTCAACGTTCGCAGTGCGGTCAGACTGACTCAGTTGTGTGTTCCACATCTCACAAAAACTAAAGGCTTCTAAATTTTATTTACAATGCAAGAGAGAGAGGGGGCGGAGGTAGAGAGAGAGAGGTCGAGAGAGAGAGAGAGAGAGAGAGAGGAGGTAGAGAGAGAGAGAGGAACGGAGAGAGAGTGGCGGAGGTCGAGAAAAAGAGAGGTAGAGAGAGAAAGAGAGGGAGGTAGAGAGAAAGAGAGAGGTCGAAAGAGGTCAAGAGAATGAGAGAGGAAGAGAGAGTGGAAAAAGAGAGGTAAAGAGGGAGAGGGGGTAGAAAGAGAAGTCGGCCGGTCGGTCGATCGAGATAGGGAGAGAGAGATACCACTGTTTGCTTCTACCTATTTGAAACAAAACTTTTCATGACACCTGTAGCATATACTGTTTTAAGATATTTCTTGTTATTTCCAGGTGCCGTTGTAAATGTGTCCAGTATAAATGGAGTACGATCGGTAAGTTTTTCTCCTTCTGGGAATCATACAAGTTTAGGACAGTGTTGGGCTTACAAGAACAGTTGCAAACAGTTTATCTTATCAAAATAAAACCCAGTGGGTTATTCATATTGCCTAGCAATTGGGTTTATTCATTTATCATTAAACAACAATATTTACAATATGCCGGTTTAGGTGTACTGTTCCAGCTGTGTAAGTAAAGATCTAGGTCATTGGCTTGTAAACAGTTAATAGGATAACAGGGGTGTTATTCAATTAATTTACCATGTCGAGAATTCTGAATCTCTTTCTGGTAATTCAATGGAATAACAGGGGTGCTATCCCATTGATTTACTGGTCAAGGAACTCTAGTTTTTAATTGTTTTAGGCGATGTTAACTTTTATGTTTGCATCTCGCTGCAATTCAGTGACCAACTTATTCCTCCTCAGATGTCAGGATGTCTTGCGTACAGCTTAAGCAAGGTAGCACTGGACCAGTTAACAAGATGTGTGGCACTTGGTTAGTGAACCTCGTACTGTTGTCAGATATATTTTACAATATCAAAAAGAGTTTCATGAATTGATAATTTTATTTATTTCACTGTCTCCCGAGACAAAAAAACTACCCTTGATTTTTCAGAGCTTGCTTCCAAGCAAATCAGGGTCAACTCTGTCAAGTAAGTTTTCTTTTCGGCAACTTGTAAACACAGATTGGATTTATTACCGACTTGGATGATCTTTCTGATGATACTCTGGTACATTTACTTTAAGAGGTTCCTCTTTTCTCTCAACAATATTCGAATATTACAACATGTACAGGTATTTTTGCTGGAATCAAATAGTTTTTTTTTTGTAATATCTTTTTTGTCAACCCTGTCAGCATTTATATATATATATATATATACATCTATTTATTATTGTATTCAACTTTTATATGTTAATTTTTTGTTTTGCTTGTCCTATGTATTATGTATTGTCTGGTGGCGACATAAACATCAGTGTTACTTGAGTGTGTTGCCACCGCGTCTTGTCATTATATGTTTCAATAAAAAAAGAGTAAGTTTTTTTATCGATAACACGCACATCTTTCCATTAACTATGTGATATACAGTAGTTTTGGTCAGGTTTGCATTCAGGCAGCCACTAGATTGTGCAAGATGTAAATGTGATGTTTTCAATGTTGCAAAGCTGCGTTGGACATGGATTTGCGTTGGAAATGGCCTTTATTTTGAGTAAACCTTAATTTTGTCTACTTGTATCTGACCATCTCGAGTCATTTCTGTCACCCCACAGCCCCGGCGTGATCCCGAAAGACATTTTCAAACGCGGAGGAATGACTGACGAGGAAATTGTTCAGGTATAAAAGCTAGCCTCTTTAAATTAAAAGGGCACTGAAAGTTACAACATGGCATTACCATTAGGTAATTAATTTTAAATCATTAGATATTTATCCAGCTAAAATCAGCATATGCAACACCTGACTTAAAGTCAATCATGAATTAATTCCAGTAACCTTAATTTTGCAAATTTACGTTTTAATAAACTATACATAAATGCATTACGTTGTTTTCCGGATTTATCTTTATTTAGTTGATGGAACATTGCAAGTCTACCCACGCACTGGGGAGGGTCGGAGAGGTTTCCGAAGTTGCGAAGACCATCGCCTTCCTGGCCTCGTCAGACGCGTCCTTCATAACCGGAGCCCAGGTCCCCGTGGACGGCGGGAAACACGCCATGTGTCCTCGTTAATTAACTTAACGTGAGGCCACACCGACTTAATTTTATGGATGGCATCGATCCGCGCGCTCATTGATTTTGCCTGTCCTCAAAAAAAAAAAAGATCACGTCCTCCGAGGCTCTGCCCTGGCTCTAGGCTTGGGTAGTCCGTACTAGTTAGCGGCAACAGGGAACCGGCGGTAACTCTGGAGGTCGGCACCCGAAGCTCCACAAAGCTCCAGATCTCAGTACATACGTACAGTGCCGATTCTAATCGCAAAAAGCCAGCATGTGCCTACTTGTCGTATACGTCGCAAATTGACAATACCAGCTTTGTTTATATTCTTGTGGTATAGTAGTGTTTTTATTTTTCGCCGGAATTTTTTTATTCGCCCGCACGAACTAGTTTTGGGATCTTCAGAGGATGTCATCCATAAAATTCCTGACCAGATCTTTTATATTTCTTAAGAATAAAGTGTACGTAGTGAGGTTAAATTAATCTAGAATTGAGTTCACCAACAGAATTTCGTTTGGGCTTCTTTTGAAAAAAAATAAAGTCTTTCTTTATTATAAATGTTGAGCAACAATGGGCTTAAGATAGGGTAAAAAGAATCTAATTAGACGGAAAAGGTGAAGTCACGTAAAGCGTGTCTGAGCTTTTTATACAGCTGTGTCAAAGTTGGCATAATGCAACTTAAGCTGAATTTTGGTATGCATCGCATACTAGTATTTTGTAGTTTATAATGAAACTTGAGATGGTTAATCTTGAATCGTAGAGTTAAGTGTGAAATTAAGCTGTGTTGTATTAACTTTAAGCTTTGTGAGTTTAGAAATACCCATAGCTATACATTAAAGGAATTAAACAGGACTTGCACTGGTAAAACTTGCTTCGACACAATGGAGATAAACTACAAAACTTTTACCATGTCACATACTAGAAGTGTAATTTATAACGATACATAAGCTAACAAGGCTTGACTTTAGTTTCTGTGTGTTAAGAAATAGTAATATTACAGGATTTTTTTAAATATTTAGCAGAACAAATACTGTACAGAGTCGAGTCATTTTCAGACCCAATTAAACCATATCAATATCTAGATATCGTATACAGACCTGGCGATCGTTGGAATATAATAGAACATTTAAACATTTTCTGTATTGTGTGTGTGTGTGTGTGTGTGTGTGTGTGTGTGTGTGTGTGTGTGTGTGTGTGTGTGTGTGTGTGTGTAGAGTTTTTTGGCTTATTTGTTACGTGTTTTAGGCTTTTTTATCGGACTTTTATAGGCTTTTTTCCACGAAAACACAAATCCGATAAAAAAAATCCCAAAACTCTGCTTGGGGAGTATCTCTTGTGTTGGAACAAAAGATTTAACTACTAAAACTACCAACACAGATGAACTTTTATGACAATACGTTACGTTTGCTGTCTCGTTCATGATTAGTTTCTGGAACATTCCAAGACTACACATCCCTTTGGGGAGGGTGGGACATGTTTCCGAATTTGCGAAGACCATCGCCTTCCTGGCCTCGTCGGACGCGTCCTTCATAACCGGCGGCCAGGTCCCCGTAGACCGCGGAAAACACACCGTGTGCCCGCCTTAACTGCGCTTACATGACCACTCAGCAGTGTCCGTACAATTTTTTTTTTACTTTAGACACAAAACTTTAATTCTTTATTCTAGTGCAATATTCTTGGCTGACATACTATCTCCGGATCCGTTGGTTGGCAAGTCACCCTACCATATCGTTAACTCCCAGCATCTTACTGAACTCATAAAACACCAACGGGTAGAAGCGGACGACAAACTCAGATCTTTTGACGTCACCGCCCTGTTCACCTCAGTTCCTACACATAAGGCTTTGGATGTCATAACAAGCAGACTCCAGAACGACACCACCCTAGCACAGCGTACAACTCCTAAGTACCTAATACCAGCCCAGAAGAGAACAAGAAATAGCCATGCCTTCAAGTACCAGAGTTATCAACCAAGGATTGAGGTGTTCAAGACTTCATTCTTTCCTAGAACTATTGCAGTGGAACTCAGTCACCAAGTACAGTAGGGGCATTGTCAATACATAGCTTTAAATAGGATCTAGAGCTAGAAGTTCAAGGGTTAGGTGTAACAATTGCAAGTCGATCGGTGTAATATAGTCAGCTGCCGCCGCGCCACGTGCCTGCGAAGCTGGTGTGTTAGGCCGAAAGGAGGTTATACCGGATATACAGATACAGAACTCTTACCCCCCAACAAGTCATAAGCCTTTTAAAGATCTATTTGGATTGCATGTGATTCGTACACAATGAAGTAAAGTGTTTTATCAGCAAACTAATGGTACAGCAAAGGCAAACTTCTGTCTCACCCATTGTCTGTAACGTCTACATAGAACATATAGAACAATTGGCTGTTAACATTGTTGACGTCACACTTCAAAGAAGACGCGTGGCAAACCTCACTGGGTATTCTACTGAGGAGGACCAAAGTGACTAGTTGAAATCACTATAGGTAAGAGAACTTTAATGTGTTAAATCAAACCACTTTAAACAATAACTTTAAACAACATATAAAAGTATTAAACATATGAGTAACTATAACGAATGGTTTAAACACAATGGGAAGAATGTTAGGACAAAAGCGTTTTTGTCAAGTATTTTCTTCGTCAAGTAACATCGGTATTTCTGTATCTTATCTGAAAAACACATGCATGTAATTGAAAATGTTATCAATAAAACATCTACAGAAGCAAGTGTCATAACTCTTATCGTTGTGTACCTTAACATCAAGTACATTTTGCCTTAACGATCATATCATATATGTCAGTCACATTACCCGATACCAGACTAGTTACATTTGAAAGATTTTCGAATTTATTCTTACTCTTGTGGTAAGATACTTAGATACTGATTAGACAAAATAGAAATAGATTGTCGTGATCACCAGTACTGTTTTCGCAATCCAAAGAAAGATAGAGTTTATCATGGTTAAATGATCAGCCATGTACAAATCTAGTCATACCTGTTTCATTTGTAACATTTTTACCTGCAGTATGTTAGACTTAAAGTCAGACAGTTCCAAACTGGTTCTATGCTTTCTTTCCTGATTTCATTTTTCTGCGGGGGCAGATGGTGTATGATTGCCATCCGTACTACGCTCACATACGGTGTTTCTCAGCAGTGTGTTTAACCAAGTGTCTAATTAATGACGACTTCTGTGCAGCGCAATAGTCGCACTGGTCACACTTGTAGAGTTTCTCACCACTATGTGCTGCCGTGTGTAGGTCCAAATGGCTTTTCCGTGTCGCAGAATAGTCACACTGCGCACATTTATATGGCCTTTCTCCTGTATGAGTTCTCATATGACTTGAAAGATGAGACCTGTTAGCTGTCCGGTATCCACACTGTCCACACATGTAGGGTTTGTCTCCGGTGTGTTTTGCCATGTGCATATTCAAAGTTGACTTGAGTGCAGCAGAATAATCGCACTGGTCACATTTGTGCAGTTTTTCCCCCGAATGTTTTTTCATATGCCTGGATAGGTTAGATCTATCAGCCGTCCTGTATCCACACTCTCCACATATGTAAGGTTTGTCTCCAGTGTGTGTAGCCATGTGTCGGTCTAAGCTGCATTTCTGTACAGCAGAAAAGGAACACTGGTCACATTTGTAGGGTCTTTCTCCAGTATGTTTTTTTATATGCCTGAATAAAGCAGACCTGTCAGCCGTCCTGTATCCACACTTCTCACCCATGTAGGGTTTGTCTCCAGTGTGTGTAGCCATGTGCCGATCTAAGCTGCATTTCTGTACAGCAGAAAAGGAACACTGGTCACATTTGTAGGGTCTTTCCCCAGTATGCTTTTTCATATGCCTGAATAAGGCAGACTTCTAACTGTCCCGTAATCGCACTCCCCACCCATGTAGGGTTTGTCTCCAGTGTGTTTAGCCACGTGTCGGTCTAAAATATCTTTCTGTACAGCAGAATAGTCACATTGGCCACATTTGAAGCGTTTTTCTGAGGTGTGTGTGGCAATGTGTTTGATTAAAGTAGCCTTGAGTGAAGCAGAATAGTCGCACTGGTCACATTTGAAGGGCCTTTGCCCTGTATGTTTTCTCATATGCACGGTTAGGTTAGACCTGTAAGCTGTCCTGTATCCGCACTCCCCACACATGTAGGGTTTTTCTCCGGTGTGTTTAGCCACGTGTGAGTCTAAATTGCACTTATATGCAGTAGAATAGTCACACTGGTCACATTTGTAGCGTTTGTCTACAGTATCTTTCACCGCAGGCCCGTCTGTCTGCTCTGTTTGACTCTGAACGGGAGGATGGACAGAGTTTACCCCGTACGTTTCCTCCGATAGAATGTCCTCTTCCTTGTCCTGCTGTCCTCCAGTGTCTGTTACCCGGTGCTCGCTGCTGCTTGTCTCGTTCCCAGGGTGCACAGTTGGCAGCTCGTCCACAGGAATCTCAGTGCTTCTCGGGTCCATAATATTTTTTTCTAAGAACGGAAAAAAAAGTCTAAAGGCATCCAATGCAGTTAGAGCATTATATTCGATGTGCCCCCCTCCCCATGTATACCTTCGATTTTCACGCATCATGACTTTAAGTGCTGCTGCGGTACCGCGATACACTGAAGGTAGGAGGTATACAAAGGTCTTACCTGTCTTTCAAAACTATCAAGAGTAGGTTTTAGAGTCGACATAAGTTGGAAATCGCCACAGATTCGAGAGAAAAGACACCCCTCTCGAGACGGCTCAAAATGGCAGACAAGATTTTTAAAAGGTCAAACCAATCGAAGGCAAAGGTCAAAGTTGACAAACCTGATTATCCAAATCCAGGTTTATGTAGCTGCTGACGGCTTGCCGGCCTGTTATAGCAATTGTCTCAACTATATATTTTTTTAACGGCTATCACTCTATAATCACTAAAATTGCAGTACAAGAAAGCAGTCGATTAAAAGTAGATGATATTTGTAAAGTGGATGTTCTAATGATAATGATGATTGTTACATTTGATGGTACATTTATATGTTAGCTCGTTTCACAACGTGGGCTGAATGAATACAAATAAACATACACGGTGGTAAAATCTGGGCTGAAAAGTTCCCACATGTCATAGAACCCGAACTGTGTTCGATTGTGTTCGATCTGGGGAATTCGAATCGAACCCGCGTTCTATTTCGGGGTCACCTGCGGTCATTTACTAAAAAGCGGCAAAACAAGCCTTTCTACCTCCGTGCATTGCAACAGATAAAAAACAACACTTTTCTACAGATACAAACAGTTTCCTGGACAGTACATGTCCGCTATTATTTTTGGTGGGTATGTAACATGTAGCGAAGCTACTGTCGTATCCTTGAGTGACCTTGAATACTGTAATGATTCTTTACGCCAGTATGAATAACACAATGCACACTTTCTGGCGATATGACATGTCTCCAAAACTCGTTCAAACCTGGGAACATGGAGAGTCAAACATACCCCATTTACGACTCAAAATGACTGTAACGGTTGTCCCGAAAATCGTGTTTTAGGGATTTTTGAAAAATGGCCTCAATTTTGAATTATGGGTAATTTAGTGAGAAAAATGTCAAAAAATGCCATTTTTTCACCAAAATGTCGACAAAAACTAGACTTAAAATCGGAAATTAAAAAATCCCTAAAACACGATTTTTTGTCTTATTCCTAGTCTGCGAAAAATATAAAAATCGGGGATCTGGGGTAATATACGTAGCCAGGTTTGAACGATATTTGCCTAAAAACGTGACATGACTTGTGCTCGGAAACCCGAAAATAATCGTCTTTCTGAGCGAAATTTTAAAAATCGTTGATTTAACATAAAAAGCTAACATTTAAAGGATTTTTAGACGATAATTTTATTTTAATTTGACGAAATTTACCCCTAAATATTATTTGTGTATTTTCAAATATTTTACGGGTAGTCCAAAACAGGCCAAAATAGCGTCTTGTAACCCGATACCTTTTAGAACGCGCATAGCAATGGGAAAGAATGCCGTAGTGACAGACCGCCGTGATACTCGTATGTGCAGCAAATTTTCAGAATTTTCGGGACGGCTTACTGAACTACATGTACATGTAGTTTGTTCCTGTCCCCAGAAGAATAACAGCCAAGACCAATCAAGACTGCAATACAACTGTATCAATAAAAACTATAACAATATAACAGTTAAGTACCACTGTAAAAATCAAGACTGTAACAGTAAAACAGTGACGTATGTTACTGATCACTTGAATAAATATCAAACTAGAAACCTTCGCCAGGACAATAATTCTTATTGCCAACCTTTGTGCGTTGTACGGAATAGAATATCACCTGGGAAAGTATGAAATGCAGATAGAGGTAGAAAAGAGATATCTAACATGTAAAGACTTTATTCCACTTGGAAAATATATTCTAACGGAAGGAAAAAAAAGAGTATTGCTGCCGCTGTATCCACCTCTTCTAGTCAATTTCGATTATTTTGTCGATCACAAAAGAAGTGGGAGGGGGGCATCTCTGCATGTGTATGTGGTAACGATGGTGCATGCGCACATCTGTGTAAAAGTCACGAGCATTTACGGATTACATTAGGACGTTCTGCCTACCAGCCCAGATTGCTTTTTTTTTCACGAAGATGAGTCTGGCTTTTGCATAAAAACAAAATGCCATCGCATCATCACCTCATGTAACGTCATTCTTCCAAAAAAGGGTAAAAAAAACTATACCTTGCCAGACTAATTAAGGTATTGGATTTTTTTTCACAGTTATACACTGCACGACAATACAGTCTGCACAGTACGGTCGAAATGAACGGGCAGGGAAAGGCTGTCCGGCCGCCTGTCTCCGGCCCAGGCAGCCGCCAAACCAGCGGGCGGCCACCCCAACCCCGTCCCGTCCAGCAGAGTGGTTCACGCGGGCGAGTTCGCCACGGCAACGGCGCTTCTGACAAGCAGCGGGAAGACCGAGGAGCGTCTTCACACACGTTCGAAGAAGCCGAGGCGGTGAGCGGTGACGCAACGTCTGTAGGTAACCAGCGCTGTTCATACCTGCCTTTTACAGTGGATATTTTTACAATCAGAAAGAAACAATTCCTGTAGAAAGAGTACATGATCGCTTACTGACTATTGCATACTTTGCTGTATGGGTAAATTTGATGGCAACAAGAAATCCATGCAGTCTTTACGGTACGTTCTGTTTGTAAAATTCATCAGCAGGGTACGCGAACGTTCCCGCACGGGTGGGTATTTGGTGCTTCACCACAAAAATCAACCCTTAAACAAGTATGATGTTTAAAAAGAAAAAAAAATGACAATTTCGTGTTTATCTGTTCCGTTCTTGATAAATCGTTATTTTCATGTACGTACACATATAATTTAGCAAGAAACCAGAATTTCTGCTACAGTACAAGGAAAGCTGCCAGCTAGGGTCCAATATTAGTTAGGCCCAGGCAAATTTATGTTGTGTTTCTGGTCTTTCAAATAAGACTCGCTAGGTAAGGCATTATCTTCTCTTTTTTTTTTCAGAAATTTTTAATCAGTGATCGAATTAGTACAAGGAATATAACACTGAAATGTATAAGTACGTTGGTATCGAAATGTTGCCCCTAGAAATAGAATAGTGAAACGCGGTCCTGGGTTTAATTTATTTTGCTATCGGGGCTCTAGACATATGTAAACCTGCAGTTTTACACTCAGTTTCACTAATTTCAATAGAAACAGTTACGTATTCTATCGTGCATTTTTGTAAGACCTAGCGAGACTTTGCATGAAAATAAAAGGTAGCAGAGCACAGTTTTCGCCCTATGGGGATTTCTATAGTTAAGGACACCAAGATGACTCACTTCGACTAGGTAAAAATACGAAAATCGAATATGTTTGAAAAGAAGCTACAAAGTTATAATAAATAAGTGTTGGATGGATTGTGATGATATCTGGTACATTGGTAGGTCTTGGGAAGGCGAAGGTCAAGGATCATCATCATCATATCCTGTCGTGCAAAAATCGCAACCAGTCAAAGGCCTCGTCGTTAGATTTCATGCAGATCCAGGTCAAGGATAATTATGGGCCTCTTAACGATTTGCATTGGTAATGCAGCAGAAATTCTGGTTTTTGTATCTTTTGTTCTAGAAATATCATGGCCTAAAATGTTTATGTTAGGAAAACGTTACGTATGTTTGGGCCACCTGTCAGCTTGGCTGGAACTACCGTGGCGATTTGTTAATCATAAAGTATTTCAAAGATATAATATACATAACTGTATGTGGCATATGTAATGTATGGCAGGTGGAACATTAACGGCAAGGTTTCAAATATGCGCCTAATTTGCGCACAATTAATACGAAAAAGTGTTTCTTGTTGATAGAATTATGGGAATTATAAACATGTGTAAGGTAGTTGAAACAGAGCGTCAGTATGCATACATTATGTAAATGAAGCGGCATTTGCATAATTATTTGGAAAATGTCTAATGCCTGACCTTGATTTCCTGATGTGGTATTTAACTTGTGTAATCATTCATTAACATAACTGAGTTAGTAATTAACGTAAGCGATAACCAGTTATTTGTTATTATATAAAATTGGAAAAATAGAAAAATGAATCATTCTATTCGCAATTAATCCCCAGTATCGAATTGCTGTCTAGCATTTAGGTATTTTTATTCATTTTATTTCATTAATTTCCGTTTTATTTTGTAATCATTCTTGCTTCCTATTTTAGTTCATGAATAGGCGAAGCTTCGAAGATAAACATCCGATCTTGTATGATTTTTTCCTCATTTCTCTCAGGTGCCACACCCATGCGGCGGCCTGAGCCTAATTGGCGATCACGTGCAGACGCCGCTGCAAAAATACCCAACCCTATGTACGCCTCCAATGCAGGTAAAGCTATCAACTATCAAAGGAGTGCAGTGTAACGGAAATGAAAAGAAACCTACAGTGGGGGTCGCTGGAAGGCAGACGTAGAATGTCCAGACTGTGCATGATGTACAAAATGACTAATAAACTGGTGGACATACCAACCACTAAGTATCTGATACCAGCCCAGAAAAGAACAAGAAATAGTCATGAATTCAAATATCAGAGTTATCAACCAAGAATTGAGGTATTCAAAAACTCGTATTTCCACAGAACTATCGTAGACTGGAACTCGATGCCACCAAGCACAGTTCGGGCATCATCACTGGAAAGCTTTAAACAACTCCTACAAATAAATGTGCAAAGATTGAGTGTAACAAGTCGTTCGGTGTGATATAGCTAGCTGCCGCCGAGAAGCTGGTGTGTTACGCCGAAGGGCGGCTATACCGGTACCGGCTATACCGATACAGATACAGATAAATCGACTACAGTGTTTATAATTTTCGTAACGTTCTGAACTGGTGTTAATTTTCCGCAGATGATTAATTAAATTGTCTTCATTAATGTCAGGCACCACACCCATGCAGCAGCCTCAGTCACTGCGATCACGTGCGGACGCCGCTGCCAAAATACCAAACCATATGGACGCGTCCAGTGCAGGTAAACTGAGTACAGTCTTTATTTCACTTTTGCATCTTCAACCCTGTGTAAAGTGCCTCATATATTCAAGAAAAATATGAAAGCGGATATGAAGTGTGGGGTTATTTATAAAATCAGCTTTGGCGTGAGCGTTAAAAATGTTTAAAGTTGGACATAGCTTTAATGTTTTGTTCTAATTAGTCCAGACAGTAGGTCCTCTGTACATGAATGAGAATTGCCGTTGATTAGATTTTGCAGTAAAAGGCCTTATAAAATTTCTCTGTCTTGTGTTATGGCTATGAATGTCTGAGTTCAATTAGAACTATTTTTTTATGTTAAAGGACCAATATTTTTCTCAAATGACTATATTACATCTTTATTTTTATTTCTTCGTCCAGCCGACCCACCCATGAACCAACCCCAGACTAATTACCGGGCGAACGACGCCACGTACGCCTCCATACCAGGTAAAACTTTTTTTTGCATAAAAAAATTTCAATGCTATTCATAATGGAACTGTAATACATATAGCATGTGTAATGTATGGCATGTGGAGGATTAACAGGCACCAGTTATGCAAATGAGGGTCTGATTTGCACAATCAATACGATAATGCCATTTTTCTTAGTGGTAAATTATGGGATTTCATACCCGTGATATGTGTAGATTTGTTCAAACTAAGAATCAATATGGCATTGCGTAAATGTTGACTTAAACAATAACCTGAGTGAAGTATGTTTTTCCTACCAGACGGCGCGTATCCGGGTAGAGCAAGCGGCCGCCGGGGTGTCTGTGGCTTCCTCAGCGCCCGCCGCAGCAGCCTGACTGCCGGCATCGCCGTGCTACTGGGCTTGGGCGCCATGGGACTCGCCCCTCTGACGTTCATCAACAAACAGGTAACAGTCTAGTACCACAAAGCTTGTTGTTCAGCTGTTTTCTGCTTCTCATTCTGTTTTTAATAGGGTACAAAACTAACTTGCCGTTTTTTTGTAAGTTTTCATCTTACGTTTGATATTCTGACGTCCAAAAGTACGTTTGTAGGAGATATCTCATTTGTCGACAACTGTGAAACGCGACCAAGAAGGCATGCGTCAACTATCCACCACTGTTGACGCCTTGAAGAGCGAGCAAGACGACATGTCCACCACTGTTGACGCCTTGAAGAGCGACCAAGACGACATGTCCACCACTGTTGACGCCTTGAAACGCGACCAAAACGCCTTAAAACGAGACCTGGACAACGAACGAAGCCGAACCGCCGCCTTAGAGCAGCGTCTTCGCGAGATTGTGAAGGCTTTACGTAATTACAAATTGGTTTTCAGCTGTTCTTTTTGCTCTTTATGTTTGTCTGTTTGCCACTGTCATTTGTTTAAAAACAGGTAATGCGACTCACGTTTAACTTTGTCATATTGAATATTTGTTATCATATACAGCCCTGAGAATAGATTTATTGTTGATGAAGCATATATTACACTTATGTCATGTTTTTCAATATGACCCATCCTTGGCCTGTTGCTGATACAAAACTTGTCTTCCAGTATCTTGTGCTGAAGGTTACACAAAACGACGTGGAATCTGCTACAAGGTCTTCAACAAACAGAAGACCTTCACAGGTGCTGCCTCTACCTGTCGTGCAGACGGCGGAACCCTCGCCATGCCCCGAGACGCTGACACCAACGCCTTCCTCATCTCCCTGTACAAGTCCGTGAGCGACGACCGAGGCTTCTGGTTCAGACTGCTTGATCAGCGCGAAGAGGCCTTCTGGTTCGGCCTGCACGACCAGCGCGTAGAGGGAAGGTTTGAGTGGGTGGACGGGTCTGCACTTGGACCGTACAACTCCTGGAGTCCGGGAGAGCCGAGCAACGGTGGGGGCAACGAAGACTGCGTCATTTATTCCCCACGATACAAAGACAAGTGGAACGACGTACGCTGCCACATTGAGGTTAACTTCATATGCCAGGCTAATCCAGGTACTTATTGTGTCCGCACTTTTTCCTGAAACCCTTCCATCTATTGTAAACATGGTACGGCAAGATAGGCGGCAGACCATCATTGCTCCTGTTACAAACCAAGTCTTAAATAAATCATTCCACAGCTCATCCCTTATAATCTCGTTTCAGAACGTCAATAGGCGACGGGAGGGAGTCTACTGCCAAAGATGTAGGCGCTGTGCCAACAGAATATTCATATCTTATTGCTTTTATTACTTTTATCATTATTGTTATTTATTGCGATACAATGTACAGGAACACAATGTCCTTCTGGTGGCAGAATTAAATCAAGTTTACATTTTATTACTTGTTATTACTTAAACAAGGCACACAACTTCCTTCCAATGGCATAATCATAGGGCAACATTCAGATGTAAGTTTTCCTAAATATTTGGAGGATGGCAACTTTAGGAATGGTGATTCTGTCGGAAAAGTTGACGCTGTGGCAATAGAATATTCCTATTTTTCATTATTTTTATCATTATTATTATTTATAACGACACATTATATAGGTATACATTGTCCTTCTTGTGAAAAAGTGGGCAACACTTGTTTTTAAATTTTTGAAAGGCAAAAAGTCTTTCGAAAAGTTATATTCGAGTTAGACGATTTACTAATATAACATGCACAGCTTTATTACTTATTATTAAGACAATCAAGACTGTAACAATGTAACACTGGAATAATCAAGACTGTAACAATGTAACAGTTTGATACCACTGTAACAATCAAGACTGTAACAATGTAACAGTTTGATACCACTGTAACAATCAAGACTGTAACAATGTAACAGTTTGATACCACTGTAACAATCAAGACTGTAACAATGTAACAGTTTGATACCACTGTAACAATCAAGACTGTAACAATGTAACAGTTTGATACCACTGTAACAATCAAGACTGTAACAATGTAACAGTTTGATACCACTGTAACAATCAAGACTGTAACAATGTAACAGTTTGATACCACTGTAACAATCAAGACTGTAACAATGTAACAGTTTGATACCACTGTAACAATCAAGACTGTAACAATGTAACAGTTTGATACCACTGTAACAATCAAGACTGTAACAATGTAACAGTTTAATACCACTGTAACAATCAAGACTGTAACAATGTAACAGTTTGATACCACTGAAACAATCAGGCTGTAACAGTTTAATTCCACTTTATAACAATCAAGACTGTAACAATGTAACAGTTTAATACCACTGAAACAATCAGGACTGTAACAGTTTAATTCCACTTTATAACAATCAAGACTGTAACGATGAAAAAGTTTGTCAACACTGTTAAATCTGCTGTCTGTAATTGAGACTGTTAAGAATGATTAAGATTTTGCGCTTTTAGGTGATTTATACAATTAAAAAAAGAACTATTTTGGTTAAATGCGCATTTGTAATTTCTGAACTGTGTCAGTGAGACAGGATGGTTGGGTGTGTTCGGGCTAAGGATGTGACTTGTCCATATTCTCTACTAGTACACGCAGCCATTTTTGCCACACTGGGTTTGCAATCCTGAGTGCATAATCTAAAAAAATGTAATGGATAAAAAGCAACTAAAAATATTCAATCAACTGTTATAATATGTTAAGTGTTTTACAAACACACACACACGCACACACGCGCGCGCGCACAAAAACTAATACCAGTCTTGTATCTCTTACAATGTAGTTGGTTTACTTATATCTAGTATATTATGCATATATCAAACAAATGTAACAGTTTGGGGGGCTCTTTTGACCCCCCCCCCCGTCAGAACTCGCGAACGGTATGTCGTATGACCACAAAATTTTCAGCAGAATATGGTGTACTAATGACAATTTATCATATCTACAATTTTTATGTCGTTATGACGTAATATGTGATTTTATTGGCCAAAACCGACTACATAGGTTTTTCCCTAAAAACTACATGGCATTCAACATAAGTGTACCAAAAGTGTTTATGACAGAACATTAGGATGTACTAAGTCTTATGCCCATAGCAACACCGGTGACGTCATAAAATGACGTCATGCATATTTAAGATATCCGCCATCTTGGATCATCAATCTTGAATTTTCAAAAATAGTTTTTTTCATGATAAAGCCTAAAATACATTGTAAACATACTAAAGACCTTCATTTTAACTTTTTTTGGAAAAATAAATGGAAGTATTGATGAAATTTTAATGAAAGTAACCTGTATATACCTGTTCTAATGATATGGTCCGCCATCTTGCATTTTGGCCAATGACGTCATCAAATTAGCATAAATTTTGCATATTTAATGATAAAATTTACATAAAATTATGTGGGAGGTTATTAATATTAGAAACCATGAGTAACTTCGGACGCTACGTTCAGACGCTACGTGACATCAAAGTTGGCGCGGGCACTTTTAGCCCCCCCCCCTGGTCTAGATAGGGTTATGTAAACACCTGCCGCGGTAAAAGTAATGATCGCATACAAACCCGTAATCCGGATGTTCACCCGGTGTTATCGGCCGGCCGTACAGATCCTCAGGCACCTCGTACGGATACACCGGACGGCCAAACTCGTCCACAGGCTGCCCGTTCATCATGAAGTACAGACCGTCGTCTAGCTAAATGTAGACCCACCTTTTCATCGCCAACTCAAAAGCTCACGTAATTTTCAGACGGATCTTATCTGCACTACTTCCTGCCGGGTCGCGGATGAATACTGTGTCCTCAGGCTTAAGTCCAACAGCTGTGTCGTTATACCATCTTTTGAGTTTCGGACAACTCAGAAAGACGACACGTCGTCACCTGGCGCCGAGTACGCGGGACCCAGGCCGCCTCTCAGCATGGCCAGCCTGGCAGACAGACTACAGAAGCTTCTGGAACTCCTCATCGCCTCACGGGATCTGACCAAGGTGAGTTAGAACCTCCAACACGGAAGCGAATTCCGTAGTTTCGGCTATAGCTTCATATTTACTGTCCTTAGTTACGGTAGCCACCATGACTTGTTTTTGTTAACGTTAGTAATATACTAATATATAGATGGAAATTTCTTCCCCACTCCATGGAGATTTCTGAAATCAAACTTTTAACTTTCGTACACTGTTCCAGCAGTATTTTTGCACCCTGTTGCTGAACCTAAATTAACCAACGTCCTTGCTGTAAGTTTAACGTTACATCTGAACCTAAACTCATAAAAATTAAGGTTAGATCTTGAAACAGCAATTATATATCCGTGATTAAAGCTGTTACAGACATATATTCCATTCCATGGAAGCGTTGTCCTCTCAACCTCCGCGAAAAGCGTAAAATTCAAATATTCTACTCGTTAGCAGTCTGGGCATTAAACATCGAGACGCTTAAAGTTAATGTTTAACTTCGACACACATAACGTCAACGTTTAACTTCGAAACAACGTTAACGTTTATATGTTCTGTTTTCTGTATGTTCTAGTTGTACTGGCTTCTTGTAGGCAGTCACCCATACGAAAGACATTAATCTAGTACAATCAGAAAACGGCAAATAATATCCACCCCCAATAAAATGCCCACTCCTAAGCCTGCTAACGAGTCTACACTTTGTTGACATTGCCCCTCCCCCTTACATAATGGAATGCGGAAGTCAGCCAAGCAGTGACCGGTAGTAGTATGGTGAAAGGGAGATAACACATTTAGTCAGGAGGCAAGTTATGAGCATTGTGCATATACATATGTTGCACTAATTTGTAATACATGTAGATGTTTTAATATGCATATACCCAATCTTTTTAAAACTGTGTTGTGAACAAATACAAGTGGGAGTTTTACTACACCCATGCCCCATGCTGAGGTTACCCAGGTTTTACCTTCTCCACAGTCTGGGCATCCCGTTCTGTTCGTGCGGAGGGAGCCAGCCGTGACTGTTCGGTACATCAGCAGGGGTCGAATGGCGGGAAAACTCGAGTCACACTTCAACCCACCAAACCAAAAGCAGCCCTCTGTATGTACAGGCCCAAACCAACAACAGGCCTCTGTACGTACAGGCCCAAACCAACGACAGGCCTCTGTACGTACAGGCCCAAACCAACACCAGGCTTCTGTACGTACAGACCCAAACCAACAACAGGCCTCTGTACGTACAGGCCCAAACCAACAACAGGGCTCTGTACGTACAGGCCCAAACCAACAACAGGCCTCTGTACGTACAGGCCCAGACCAACAACAGGCTTCTGTACGTACAGGCTCAAACCAACAACAGGCTTCTGTACGTACAGACCCAAACCAACAACAGGCTTCTGTACGTACAGACCCAAACCAGGAGGCTTCTGTACGTACAGGTCTAAACCAACAACAGGCTTCTGTACGTACAGGCCCGAACCAACAGGGTTCTATACGTACAGGCGCAAACCAACAACAGGCTTCTGTACGTACAGACTCAAACCAACAACAGGCTTCTGTACGTACAGACCCAAACCAACAACAGGCTTCTGTACGTACAGACCCAAATCAACAACAGGCTTCTGTACGTACAGGCCCGAACCAACAGGGTTCTATACGTACAGGCGCAAACCAACAACAGGCGTCCGGCACTGAGGTCGCGGAGGTACAGTTTAAAGGGGTATGTAACGTTACATGTAATCTCTGCTTATAAAGTGTGACATGCGTGCCTGCTAGAAGTTTGCATCTACATGTATTAACTACTGTACCTGCTTTCACGATATGTAGCAGAGATATCTTTCACAGAATGTAAAAATCACATACTGACTGAGATGTGACCAGACATAATACACTACAGTATAAAAGTGCATTGTATGAAGCTTGCGTGTGCAGTGTAATGCAGTGTGGTTAATATGTCAAATGTAAAGTCCCCTTGCAATACATGACCAGGGGCCATTGCTCATGATGCATCACAACATGATGAAATAGCTTAGTACATACATGTACATACATACATAGCGTTTACAATGCATTTATAAACCATACATGTATTGATGTTAGCCTCTGATAGACAATTCTCAGAATTTAAGTTCCTTCTTAACGTCACTCTTCGTGCAATGAATTACATATTGACTTACATATTTTCTAAACAGAATTTCGTGACTGTATCTTTGTGGTTTGCAGATGACCCTGAATGACAAAAGGCCGGCCCACAGCCAACCGTCCACTGATATGGTCAAGGTCACGACTTCCACAAGGTCACAGCATCCACAAGGTCGTCCTCAAAGTCATGATCTTCCTACTGCAGACATACCCAGGTTAGTTGTAGTCAAGTACTCCCAGCTATACTTATTACAGTAACTGTAATAAGCAGTTAGGAATACTTAATGATATACCTTTCACAGAGTAATGTCCAGCCATCCATTCATTCATTCATCCATCCATTCATTCATTCTTTCCAGGCAGTGCACATCCCACCTGCAGGAAGGAGACAAAGCTGTACAGAGGGGAGACCTGGACTCAGCAGAGCAGCACTTTGCAGAGGCACTCAGACTTGTACATGTCAGAGGTAGGACAAACATTTCATTTCAAACACATGTGAACTGCTACATGAGTTGCGACTTGTGTAGTGCTGGCATTGCCATTGGACAATTATATGTATGTAGTTGTTCAGGTATCTATATTTCGTCTAGTAATATTCATTCTGTAAGTACACAATTTTTTTTTCTGCTACAATGTCAATGTGAAATGGATTCAACAGTTATTCCCTTTTGTGGCCAAATGCCCTGAAATTTGGCATGAAAGTCTAGTACTAGTAGGTAAATGTAGAATAGTTTGTTGAAGCCAAATACACATATCCTGTAGTACTTGTGTATCTTTAGTCCTAACAACCATTCTGTGTTTTTGCAGATCCAACTGCTCTAATGTGTGAAAAAGAGGTTTCACCGCTGCACAAGTTGGGCGATGTCTACTGCAGGCGAGGCTGTCAAACAGGAGACGGGGGAGACTTTGTCAAGGCGGCAGCACTCTACCATGCGGCACTAGCCAGGTCTAGGAAAAGAGCTTTGAAACGTAAGATTAACAAAGCAGTTGTAGAAGCAGAAAGACAGTTTCTCCAATATGGCTTAGGTATAGATATTATAACAGAAAGCATGTATGGCAGTAACACTCTTACACACAAGGACCAGATCAGGAAAATTCGAGATCAAATCAAACAGGAGATGGAAACCATTGACCAAGACTTGAACCCCTACATACATGATGAGGAAAGTCAGTCAGCAAGAGAGATAGAAGCCAAGCGAGCTGACGCTGTCAGAAAGTTGTTTGAGAAAATTGCTGAAGAAAGAAAAGAGTTCATTGGGCAGCTAGTAGATGAGTGTATCTCAGTGATGCGTCCCCCTCCCTGTAAGTATGCCCTGATAGGTTTGGGTTCACAGGCCACAGGACTGGTAACTCCATACTCAGACCTGGAGTTTGCTATCTTGGTAGAGGACGAAAATGACGCAAATGTCGCGTATTTCCGTCGACTGACTCACTACCTGCACCTCAAAGTGGTCAACCTGGGAGAAACCATTCTCCCAGCACTGGGTATTGAGTCCCTGAACAATTTTTACTCAGACGACCCACTAGACAACTGGTACTACGACTCTGTTACACCACGTGGGTTTGCATTTGATGGGTCCATGCCAAAGGCAAGCAAGACTCCACTGGGTAGGCAGGGAACTATGAATGAACCATCTAGTGAACTTATCCACACACCAAGGAACATGGCTGGTATCTTAGAAACAGACTTTTCACTGTACCTGGAGGAAGGGTATCACCTCTGTAGTGTGTTGAGAAACGTTTCCTTTGTGGTAGGCGAGGGTAGTTTAGTAGATGAATATGTTGAGATCGTCACTAACAAACTGAAGGCTCGAGATGGAGAGATGGCTCAGCAGCTGGCAATGGAGATCATCCATGAAAACGTGGCAAAAGCTGAAGATCTAAGACTGACTTCTCTCCTCATTGATGTGAAGAAAGAGATCTACCGATTTCCATCTGTAGCGGTGGACTGTTTGGCACTCTGCACAGGTATTCTACCAACCACGGTGTGGGAAACAATTGACGAAATGGAAGGTGGGAAAGTTCTCAGTGTAGAAAATGCTCATCACCTGAAGGTTCTGGTCAGCATCTCAGCAGAGCTCAGACTGAGAACCTACATTGCAAACGGCGGCCAGAAGAAAACCTGTCAGCCTTGTCAGCCATGCCAGCACCACTGGGTGATAGTGAGGAACAAACCGTTCAGTTGCAAAAGGTGTTCTACATTTCTAATGTTCATCAGCTGTTCAGGTATTATTTCTCAGCAACCCCTCTGAAGAAGTTGTTGTCAAGTAAACAAGCATCCTCTGGGCTCAGGCGTCTGCTGAAAAACACCAGATTATTTGAGAACTCTCCTGTAGAAAAAGGAATGATGTACATCAGGCTGGGGTACAACAATGAGGCTGTCGAATGTTGTGAAAAGGCATTGGATAAAAGCATGGACGTGTCAGCAAGAGCAGAATTACTGTATATGCTGGGGCTTGCTTGTCAGAACATGGGAGATCATGAGAAAGCCATTGGATACTTTAACCAAACAAATCAGCTGTTCCTAGTATTCAACTTTTTAAGTATAGAACACCCCAATATTGCCATGTCACTGATAAGGCTAGGCTCATCCAGGTATGAACTGGGTGATTATGAGGAAGCAATCAGCTACTTTCAGGAAGCACTGAGCATATGTAGGGAGATTTACGGACGCAGCAAGCCACACTCAATCATTGCCACCGCACTATCATTTCTGGGGTTGGTCTTTCAAAAGCTTGGAGACCACAGAAAAGCCCTGGACTACTTTGAAAAGGCATTGGAGATGAGTGGAAGGGTCTATGGTACCACTCATCCTGACATTGCCACATCAGTTCACAATGTTGGTTTAGCTTGGAATGATAAGGGTGATTATCACAAAGCCATCAGTTTCTTTGAACAAGCTCTGAGGATGAGGAGGAGTTTGTTTGGTCAGATATCAGCCCATCCTGATATTGCTGTGTCTTTTCTTAGCCTGGGTTCAACCTGGCACGAACTTGGGAATCCCCAGATGGCTATCAGCTACAAGGAAATGTCAGTGAACATGTTCAGAGCTGTCTATGGAGAGACACATCCTAAGGTTGCATCCTCACTCACCAACCTAGGAGCATCCTGGAATTACCTGGATAAAAATCAGGCATACATGTATCTACAACAGGGACTAAACATGACCAGAGCTATCTATGGTGATTCACATCCTGACACTGCGAATGCTCTTCACAATCTTGGGTCTGTTTGGTGGAGCGTGGATGAACAAGACAAGGCAATCAGCTGCTACGAAGAGTCTCTTCAGATCAAAAGGAGGATCTGTGGTCCAGATAAACCCCATCCTGACATTGCAGGCTGTCTCAACAACCTGGGAACAGCTTGGAGTGAACTGGGCAATGATATTAAGGCAATGGAGTACTATGAAGAGGCTCTACAGATGTACAGAAGTATCTTGGGTCGAGGAATAGCACATTCTAACATCGCAAACATCCTAAATAACCTAGGAGGAGCCTGTGATAACCTTGGTATTCATCAAAAAGCACTGAAATACTTTGAAGAGGCGCTGGAAATCTACCAAATTGCCTTTGGCCCTGGAACAGGACACCCTCGGATTGCAGACACACTGAATAACGTGGGGACTGCCTGGCTTTGTTTGGGCGACTACAAACAAGCCATGGACTACTTAGAACAGGCCCTGCAGATGCACAAAGCTGTCTATGGTGAAACTACAGCTCATAGAGAGATTGCCGCCTGCCTCAGTAACTTGGGACATGCATGTAGTAGCCTGAGGGATTACGAAAGAGCACTGGGCTACTACGAACAGTCACTGCAGATGTTCCACGCTACTTTTGGTGGAGACAAAGCAAATATCTGCATTATAAACACACTGCATAAAATGGCAGAATCCTGGAGAGCCATCGGTAATCAGAAAAAGGCTATCGACTACTTTAAACAGACACTGCAGATGTTCCAGTCCATGCATGGTACAGCGCATCCTAACAATGCCCCCACACTCAACTATATTGGAATTGCATTGCTTCGCCTTGGCGAGATGAGAAAAGCCATTGATTGCTTTGAGAGAGCTCTGCAGATGCAGAGAAACGTGTACGGTGCTCGTGCAGAAAATCTTAGCATCGCTTCTTCACTCAATAACCTGTCCTCGGCCTGGGCTGCACTGGGTCATAATCGAAAAGCGAGAGGGTACGCAAATCAGGCGAGACGAATGAGAAACAAACTAGCACGTCAGTAGTAGACATTTACTGTCTGTCTTATACTGAGACGGAAAAGCTGCCTGGCCTGCTGAAAAGCATTCTCACTGACAATACTGTAAGTGAGTGAAACAACAAAGAAGGGCAACAAGCGACTGTTCATGTTACGCAGACTTAAGTCATTTGGAGTCCCAGTGGAGGACCTTGTAACAGTGTACTGTGGCTTCATAAGACCGATCCTTGAGTACTGCGCGCCAGTGTGGCATCACGGACTTACCCGCAAACAAACTGCAACACTGGAACGAGTACAGAAACGTGCATGCCGGATTATCTTGGGTCAGAAGTATACAGACTACACCACGGGGCTGCAGATGTGCAAACTTGAAACACTCGAGAAGAGACGGGCGGTCCTCTGCACCAAGTTTGCACACAGCATGACAACATCGGAGCGCACAGCTGATCTCCTCCCCAACACACGGCGACAGGAGCACGGCAGGAACCTTAGAAACTCTAACAAAATGACACTGGCGCCTTGCCGCACTTCTAGATTTCAAAACAGCCCTGTACCGTCTCTACTGAGTCTGCTTAACACGAACAAATAATACGTTGTAAACCAACCACACTCAGATGTTTTGTTATTGTAATATTTTATTTTAATCGACATTTTAATACTATGTAATATTTTATGCTATTCGTCATATTGAGTTGTGTCCTATGTAAGTCATGAAACGTACTTTGATGTACTATGTAAGTAGAACGTATTTCAGCCTGACGGGCTGCAATGTTTTACCTAATAAACCAGTCATTCATTCATTCATTTGCAAAACAGAGTTGTCTATCTGAATCCACTACAGAATTTACTACTGCAGTGTGTTGAGCATCAACTGGCCTGTGGTTACCATGTTGCACTGTTCAGACACAGCACCTATCGTCGTCTAGGGAACTGCAGCATGAAATATCTCATCAAAATAAAGCAATGACATGTTACAACCCGCTTCTTTAATTTGATCCATTCACAAAATGCAATATACGTGTGGTCTGAGGTCTGAGTACAGACAAGCATAGCAGAAGGCAAACTTATAGCGACTCTACTCCTCTAGAATAAAGCGTAAATTGTGTCATAATATTAGTTGTACATCATGCTTTGGAAGTCACTTCTGGTAGGTCTTCACCTACTTAGCTTCTACTTCCAAATTATAATGTCTAGTAGCCAGGCCTACGGTGAACATTGCAGTCTTTGAACAATTGGTACAAATTAATCCTACAGCATTATTTTCATTTTCATCTTTATATTAAACAAAAAGAAAATAATATCTACACACACAGTGTGGAACACATTTCTAAAGGAAAATTGTACCATTTTCACTGAGAAATTGGGTGACAAAAACCAACTTATCATTTTTGTATAATACTTGTTGTTAGATTCATTGTAACAGCGACAGTCTGGAATGTCTTAAATCGTTGATGATTTACTCTATATTAAAAACTTGTTACCAACTCAAGATATGCCAAAAAGCAGTTACTCAAGCAACTGGATATGATTTTGGAAACGGTCAGTCATTTTAGGTAGTATCCACTACCTTTCGTCATTGACTCTTGACAAGTCACTGAAGAAAGATAGTGGATGCTACCTGAAACATCTGACCGTTTCAAAATGATATCCAGTTGCTTGGGTAAATGCTAATATGCTTATTATTTTTTAAAATGTGATATCATTTATTTTTGCATGGATGTAATTTTGCCTTAGTAGGAGAGATAAGTTTTTTTTACAGTGCTTGTTTACACATGTTTGCAGTAAATAAAAAGTACTTGGTGATTGTAGCACAAAATCAAATTGGCACTTTTTTCAGCCCTCAATACCTTTGCAAAGATGTTAATGTGCCAAGAGATGAATTGTCTTGATATTTAGTATGTCTTTCAAATTTAGTATTTAGTATGTCTTTCAATATGTGTTTCAAATTTGACTAGCTTTTCCTTTCAGGAAAGAGCACAATGACAATGCCAATAAAGTTTATTGCATATTCATGTCCCAGTGGGGCTAAATGCACGTTGTCAAGCATCAAGACGTTGGAGTCCAACCTACTACATAACCGTTCACGTTATTGGCTACTTCCGTCCATTTGTGTCTTAGCATCGCTTTGCTGTTTGCTGATTTCCAGACAGGAGGCGCTGCAGTACAAATACTCCACCCACAATGTACAGAAATCATGGTTCAAAACAATGCCCATTGAATTATAGGGTGAGATTCTGACATTGGTATTATGCCATGCAGGTTAAGCCTGGAAGCTGTGTAAGGTGCAAAAGTGAGATATAAACCTATCTCAAAGGTCCTGCTGGTTCAAATTGGCAACTGTGTTCCCATCCTATTTGTTGCTGTTCGTGGTCTTAAGGCCACACCGACTTAATTACCTCCATGAAAAATGGAGGTATTGTTTTTGGCGGCGTCTGTCTGTGTGTCTGTGTGTGTGTCTGTGTGTCTGTGTGTGTTTCCGCAACTTTGTAGTCAGCATAACTTCATAACGCCTTTATGGATTGTGATGATATTTGGTATGCTGATAAGTCTTAGGAAGACAAAGGTCAAGGTCAAATATGGGCCTCCTGGTGGATGACCTTGGTACTGCAGCAGAACTTCCGGTTTTTGTATCTTTGGTCCTGAACATGCTATGGTCTTGAATTTTTGGTGACAGATAGCTTTTCCTGTCAGGAATAAGTGGTGTGCGTTTGGTCCCCCTAGCAGCTTGTTCAGGGACTGCAGGGGACTGTCGGGCGAAATATTTGAAAGCCAATAAGTCCAGATAGGAACAGCGTATTTTCATCATTTTTGGTGTGTAGGTATCTGACAGAGAGATGTACATAATTAACTGCAAATTATGCAAATGAGGACTTTATTTGCATAATTAATGAGGGGATTCTCTAATTACAGTGTTTTACATTATAGTACTTTCATACATGTAATGTTTGTAACCTATGGCAGATGGAACATCAACAGATACTAATTATGCAAATTATGACCTAATTTGCATAATTAATGCGAAAATTCTCTGATTTCTTAATTGTGAATGATGGGAATGTCATACTTGGGACATCTGTAAGTTAATCAAAAGATAACATCACATGCATATATTATGTTAATGCAGAGGTCATTTGCGTAATTAAAGAAGAAATTTACATTTACATATCAAGCCCATATTTCATGGAGGTATGAGATCTCGGAACTCTTGTTTTATGGATGTCATCCGCTCGCGCATTGATTTTCGCGCCTGTTCGAAAGCCTTCCGAGGCTTTGGCCTGGCTCTAGGCGCCTACTACTCCAAGGTAGTTAGCGACAATATGGACTTGGTAACTCTGGAGGATGGCACACGGGCTACCGACTCTCCAAGGCTCAAGAACTCAGTACGTACGTACATTGCCCATCCATACATTCCGTAAAAAGGCAGCATGTGCCGGCTTGTCATATACGTCGCTATGTACTGTCGGAAATTCGCAGTACCAGCTTTGTATTCCTGTGGTTTAGTTGCATGTTTATTTTTGGCCGTACCTTCTTTTTATTCGCCCGTGCGCACTAGTTTGGGGGTCTTCAGAGGATGTCACCCATAAAATTAGGATGGTGTGGCCTAATGAAAAGAAAAAGACATACGAAACATGGCGTACAATATAAACCACGAAAACAGAAAAATGGAAAGTAACCATCCTGTATATTGCTGGCGAAAATATTCTCCCTAAAGTAAGCTCTTGATCTTTTCTTAATCTAGTTCACCTATAACACATAATATTTAACAAATGCCAATCGGAGCGTGTGCGTGTGTGCATGTGTGTGCGATGGCGTGTGTGTGCACATGTCTGTGCATGTGTATGTGCGCGTATGTATTTTCTTTTTACTTTAACATGCAAAAATACAATACATAGTGGTGACGCACTCAAGCAAAATGCTTATATTCACGTCACCACTAAATATTAGACATAAAATACATCAAAAACATGGGTATCGTCCATGTAACAAGAGAAAAGATTTAAGCTATTAGGAGATACTAGTATTATAAATGAATACTGAAATATAAAACAGCTGTTAAATTGCTTAGTTTCAGAGAGATATAGCTGTGTAATAGTGAGTATTTGAGAGTTAACTTCAGATGAAAGTAAAGGTGATCCATTAAGTAGTAGATACACAATAGCGCTATCGGAAAGGTTGTTGACTTAGCTTTTACACTTAAATATCACATTCTTAGATATTAAAATATCTAAGAATGTAATATTTAAGTGTAAAAGCTAAGTCAGTCGAGGAGGCGTACACGTGTGCAATTATTGTTCCTGTGTGTGTGTGTGCATGTTTGTACGCGCATCGGTTTGTGTTTCTTTGTGTTATGAACAGCATAACTCCGGAGACTGCAGATCGATCTGTTTGGTTACTTTATTTGAAGCGGACCTAATTCACGAGTTTCCCATCCCTAGAATACATTGCAAAAGCAGGGGTCTAAACCTCATCTGCATAAGACAGGAAGACATCGGAATGATGCTGTTGACGTTGAACAGCTTGTTTTTCGGTGGTATGTTTTGAGCTGTTGGGGCATTTTATGCTCAACATTAAAAGGTCTCGGACCGGAGTTTTTTTCACGATTTTAGATCCGGCGGACACCCTAAGACCGAAGGGCTACAACTCCGCCACGAAAAGTACGCCGGGAAATCTCATTATATCAGTCAACGGAGGTTTCCAGCCGGCTTCGGATAGAAGTTTGGTTATTGTCTGTTAACTCTATAATTTGGGTAGAAACTGTAGTTAAACGAAAATTTTGGACAGGAAAAATATAGGTTTTTTGCATTTTTTTAAAACGGACCTGCCTGGAAAAAACGAATTTTCCCAGGCTAACGGCTTATATGCTGAAATAGCTTACTATTTCCTGTTTCTGAAAAACAGAAAAAAAAATATAGGTTGTTGCGATAAGTTTTCCGCAAAATTTGGTGACGCGACTGCCTTGAAATTCCACATAGAACGCAGCTATTTGGGTCATCAGGCGACAAACCGCATCACCCTTGCTCGCGGACTAATACCAAAAACGCTTCGCTGGCCGTCCAACTTCACCGCGCCGAAAAACACTATAATCCCAAGGTTATTTGATCAATTCAAAACCTAGTTGAAAATCTACAGCGATCGCCGAGCTATGGGGAGCCAAATCTAGCGTGACAACCTCGCAGATCCGGCGATTTACTGCGCACTATTTGGAACCTTGATTAAATTACTATGGGTTGAATCTGACAACAAATAGAGAATGAATTTTTGGGAATGTGTGGTTTGTAAAGTTATAGTGGTAACGCTATACTGATGCTGTAACGTTACAAACCACATGTTCCATGTTGAAAAGAACACAAAAACTTCATTCTCAACACCTCAAAACACAGTAAAAACCAGCTGTTTAACGTCACCAGGATCATTTCAAAACCTTCCTGTCCTATGCAAATGAGGTTTAGACCCCTATTTTCGCAATGCTTTCTGGGGATGGGAAACTCGTGAATTCTTATGCGAAAATAAATGTACTACTTTAAAACGTCGAAGCTTTACGAGTATTATGACATCCTCTGGGGTTTCCAATCGGAAAAACTTTACCCCGGGCTATCCATCTATGCCCACATGCTTGTAAAGCCTGTTCAATCATATCATATCACAGATCGCGTGGCTAAAACTACATTCGTCATAGGAAGATGAAGGTTTGAACTTCCTGCAGATATTTGCCATGTTTTATAGGAAATATACAAAAGGACATTTGCTTGTCTACGCATATGACTTTCAAATAACCCATGCTGTGTATGCTTGGATATGATAAGCTGTATTCAACGCACTTTATCTTTACACAACCTCCATGCCTTTAGGTTCTATGGTAAAGATATAGTAGGTATCAATATGCAGACCTCTTCTAAAATATGCAGTATTAGAACCTGAGAAAAGGTATAAAAATTGTCTTTGCAAGAGTCAGACTTTTAATTATTATTATCTTTTTTTGTCAAGAGGTATTTTACATTTTGACGTATCTGTTTTCAGAGGAGTAACATTTCAAAATTTCAAGGAAAAAAGAATAAAAAAACAAGCCAGCGGATAAAAACTTACGTCACTTATTTCGCAACATAAAAAGCTATATACTTTACCATCCAAAATTCGTGGCCCTGGCATGTCCAGATCACAAAAATCAAAATCGAAATACAACCTGTGCCTGAGGTGTTCTGTTAGATTCCTGTCAAGAAGTGACAAATGAATCTATTCTACCAAGGATTCTGAGATCTCACACCTCCATGAAGTATATGAGTTTCTGTAAATGTTTTTTGTCTCATTGACTATGGAAATAAGGTCATGATTAGCATAATCAAGTTTATAATTTTCTAAATTCAAATGACAATATTTTTCGTTTAAAATCCCTCTATTTGTCATACTTCATTTCAACATGCCCTCATTATTTATGCAAATGACCTCCACATTAACATAATATATGCATAGTGGTGTTAATCTTTAAGTAACTTACACTTGTACACAAGTGTAAACGTCCCATCATTCACCAATAAGAAGTCACAGAATTTTCTTCACATGAATTATGCAACTTAGGTCATCCTTTGCATAATTGGTATCTGTTGATGTTCCGCCTGCCACATATCAAATATGTATAAAAGTATTATATAAGGCACTGTAATTTTATAATTTTGTCATTAATTATGCAAATTAGGTCCTCATTTGCATGATTTTTATTTAATAATGTACAACTCTCTCTCAGTTACCTACACACCCAAAATGATGAAATTATGTTGTTCCTATCTGGACTTATTGGCTTTTAAAGATTTCGTCAGAAAGTGTCCTGTAATTCCAGAACAAGCTGCCAGGGGGACCAAACTCATACCACTTATTCCTGACAGGATAAGCTATCTGTCACCAAAAAAGACCATAGCATGTTCAGGATAAAAGATAGAAAAACCGGAAGTTCTGCTGCAATGCCAAGGTCATACACCCGGAGGCCAATATTTGACCTTGACCTTTGCCTTCCTAAGACTTACCAACATACCAAATATCATCATAATCCAAAAAGGCGTTATGAAGTTATGCTGACTACAAATGTGTGGAAATACAAATACACACACAGACAGACAGACGGACACACACACACACACACAGACGCCAAAAACATTGTTAGGTCAATTTTTCATGGAGGTAACAATGCAAATTAAAAAACAATACATGATGAACAACAGAAATGTTCTTTGATTAGATGGGAAAAACTTTAATTAAAACACCTAATCGTCACAAAAGCCTAATAGTGAAAACGGTACACAAATACAACTATGGTGTTTCTTCATTATCGTATATTCTTCTGTTATATTCTTTATTAGTAGCATTAGTAGAAGAAATAACACACTGCATACTGATACATTAAAATAGTAGAAATAACACATTGCATACTGATAGATTTAAAGAATTGGCTGGAGGGGAGCTTAAAAACTTTTATTCGTCCCTTTTTAACAAACAAAATCTCGACTACTTTTCAGGTTACCATTGTGTCAACTAGTTGCATTATTTATAGCCACCTTTTCTATTTCTTCATGACCTTATATTTATTTTGTTGTAACTTAACATTACCTCGTTTGGTCAGTGCGTTTTTTCAATTCCAGGTATTTTTGCAGGTTCTTAATTATGTTCTAAACTCTAGTAACTGAGCACAAGAGAAAAATACTTAAGTACATTATATAAGCCTTAAACCATTATTTAACATACATGCACAATAGGAGTGTTCATTATTCGACATACTTGTTTATTGCACAGCCACAATCATGCTCTCTGTTTAGTTCGTTACAGTGCCAACTCTCTCTACACACCTCACATAGAACTGGTCCGGACCACGCCACTCTATTGCCAAATTCATTTCTTTCAGATTCTAAAAGTACAATCTATAATAATAATAATAATAATAATGATAATGATGATCATTATAATCGACAATAATAACAAATAATAATCGACAATAATAACAAATAATCAATGATTGTCAATAATAATAATAAAGAATCAATAATCAATAGTAATCAATGATAATATGATAATCAATGATAATAAAAACTAATCAATGATAATCCCAAATAAATAATAATGGATACTAGTCACTAATAATCCATTGTAATTAATGATAATCAATGATAATAAAAATAAACAATGATAATCAATACAAATCAATGATTAGTTGCACCCAGGCTACCTCTTACCGTTTGGTTGGTTACAATTTTGCCAATTAAGATCTGCTTAGAGATTAGTCTCTATTACTTGCGCTTATTTAGGACTTAGGTGATATCCTTTTTTACAAGCCATCGCACAAGAAACCGAGTATTGAGATCTGAAATGCTATAAAAAAAATCACATCACGAGCTACCATGGCAAAAACCCCTAATACGGTTACACGGTTCCTCAATTGTCTTTTTTTGTTTTTGTACTTTTCAGCCTCGGCTTGTACAGAACAAAAAGTCTTTCTTTGAAGTTTGGAATCAGTTTAAATCACTGTATCGTGTATGTCAATTTAACATTAACACTGTTAATCAAGGTTATAGTATATTCATACATATTAATATACATATACATAAATACATGTACATATTGTATGTTTCATAGCATTTATTACATCAACATTATTCATGTCCTATGTGGTTACCTTTCGCAATACAAGATTTTTTTGCTCCTGTTTTGTTATCTTCCCAAAATTAATACATGTATGTTAACAGATGAAAAGATGCATCAGATTTCATTATGGCCGGACTCTAAGGTGAAACCAATAAAAATGTTCAGGAATGCAGACTCTACCTACCCCTTGCACATGAATTATCGGCCGTTAAAACTTGAAAAAAGGGGCTTCGACCATACTGTAAATCGTACAAAACAGTAGCAAAATGAGCCAAATAAATGACGTAAATTGCAAAAAAAAATTTTAAAACGATATCAATCTCATATTAATCTCATCAATTCCAAGGGAAAAATGATAATGTGAAGTAAAGACAATGAAAATGAAGAGTCTATTATTCGCCATAGCATACTATGTGTGTTTAGTCATCTGTTTAACCATCATGACCATGTAGACTTCATAATTTAAATGAAGGCGACCTTTTGCCAAACTTTTTTTTTTATTCACACGATCGCACCAGTTTTGGGGTTCCCAGAGGATGTATCCATGTCATCAAATTAACATGGTCTTATTGCTATTCACACTATATGTACGATGTGACATAAAAAATGACACCAGTACAAGAAAGAAAGCCCAATAAAAAGCAACAAAAAACACGTCCAAAATGAGCCAAAGCCGAAACCTCTGCTTGAAGGGTAGATTTCCGTCACTTACTTGAGGGGGAACTCGCATACGAAGGGTAGTTTGAGGGAGCATGGGAAGTCGTTCCATCGGAAAGGTTGTCCCCCGGTTCGCGAATAAACAGCACAATCTTCACCTTCATAGGAAGGAGCTTCTTTATAGCCATCTGGCTGGTCTGGAGCCCATCTGTGAAAGTTACCAAGCGGGGTGCCGTCCACCCACTCGAAGTGTCCTTCTTTGTGCTGATCGTGGAGACCAAACCAGAAGTCGACGGTGCGGCCGTGGAACGTGGAGGCTATACGTATGTTGGAGCCGCCGTTTCGTGGCATGGCAAGGGTACCGCCTTCTCGGCAACAGGTCTTGGCCGCTGTGTTGAAGTCTAGGCGGACGTTGAAATCTTTGTAGCAGGTTCTATGATACATATGATAACATGATGAAGCTGGAATTGCTGGAAGCACAAAATAGAGGTGATATTAAAAAGAAGCCATTTATTACCCTCGCCAAGAAGGTTATGTTTTCAGAGGCGTTCGTGTGTATGTGTATGTGTGTGTGTGTGTGTGTGTGTGTGTGTGTGTGTGTGTGTGTGTGCGTGTGCGTGTGTGTGTAAACTTGAGAAGGCCTTGATGGATTGTCTTGATGAGACCTCAAAATGATTAGATTTTGGACCCCCTAGCGGCTTGTTATGGTACTGCGGCTGAACTACGGTTTTGGTATCTCATTATCTAGACATGTTAGGGTGACGAAATTTGAATGGTAGGTAGCTCTTGTGCTGAGGAAGAAGTGACGTGAAGTTCGGGCTCTGTAGCGGCTTGCTTTGCAACTGCAGGGCTATATGTTTAAGGTGGCGCTGAGGTCTCGTGGGGTGGTGCAGGGAGGGTATAGGAGTCGGTGACTTCTCAACCCCATAGCGTCGTAAGATTTAGTTCAAATTTAATGAAATTCACACACAAGTAACAAAAATATGTGTGGATCACATAAATAAAATGTTTTGCAGGAAAAGTGAGACAATTTAGCAAATTTGTACCTCAAAACTCAACTTCCGGTTCGTGGGGTCCCAATCCGTTTGTGGCAAGTTTAGTGCCTAAAGCTGTCCTAATATCACTAAAACTTTAGTCTAAAGTCATTACTAACACTACAGGCCATGTCCGTATAAAATTATTTTTCAACATTTTGACCAAATTCAACAGATATTAGAGAAAAAAGGTTCATTTTTGATGCAAAACTCTGGTGTGTCTCTCGGTCTGGGCAACGACCTCTCCAAAAATGTAACTTTATACGGCCAAGAAGAGGGGTCAACGCCACCACGTGAAACACCCAAATAAGGCATGAACCGAATGTATCCGGAGAAAAAAAGAGATATCCATTGGCTCCGATGTTTGCCGAAGATGCAAATGAGGCCTGTTATGTAGCCCCACTGCACTGCATTAATTGGAATAATCCCCGTGACGTTCCCACTGGGAACGATCCTGGCAGGGCTGGGATCTGCCTCGCACATGTGTGGACGAGTCCAACTCAAAACAAGTAGCATGCAGGTTCCATATTGTGTTTTGAGTCCACAGTTACATGAAAATACTTACAGTTTGTAGTTAATTTTCATTTTTTTTCTTAGTATTTTGCTACCTTATAGCGACAAACATGTATATTGTGCACCAATAAGTCTACATAAAAGAACCCCTTTTCTTACGTGGTATCTCCCAAGTACCACAGTGGTCGTTATTATCGCTCCAAGATACAGCATGTTCAGGGGTAATCATATGTTTTAATGAAGGGAAACAATATTTTAATGTGATGCTAAAGGCTACAACTCTTTTTATATGACACACAGTGTCTACAGTGTATACAGTGTATTTATCCCTGTCTTTTGTAAGAAACATCCTTCAGTGTAAGCGGGTCAGGTCTTGTGGGCGTAATTGACACCACCCTCCTGTCACAGCTGCTAGCTCTCCCATCTGAATACATCAAGATTCGGGCAACTTCGGACACGGTCCACATGAGTGATAATTGTAACCTCAGCGCCACCTTAACATGACATAAACACGGTGTTAAAATCTGGGCTGAAAAGTTCCCACATGTCATAGAATCCGAACTGTGTTCGATCTGGGCAATTCGAATCGAACCTGCGTTCCATTTCAGGGTCACCTGCGGTCATTTGCAATAAAGTGACAAAACAAGCCTTTCTGCCTCCGTGCATTGCAGCAGATAAAAAAAAAGACTTTTCTATAGATAAAAACAGTTTCCTGGACAGTACATTTCCGCTATCACTTTTTATGGACATGTAACATGTGGCGGAGCTACTGTCGTATCCTTGGGTGACCTTGAATGCTGTAATGATTATTTACGCCAGTATGAATAACACAAGGCAGATTTTTGGTCGACATGACATGTCTACAAAACTCGTTTAAACCTGCAAGCATGGAGAGTCAAACATACCCCATTTACGGCTCAAAATGACCGTTACAGTTGTCCCGAAAATCGTGGTTTAGGGATTTTTAAAAAATGGCCTCAATTTTGCAATCAAGTGCGAAAAATGTGAAAAAAATCATTTTTTCACCAATATGTCGACAAAAACTAGACTTAAAATCAGAAATTAAAAAATCCCTAAAACACAATTTTTGATCTTATTCCTAGGCGTCGATAAATATAAAAATCGGGGATCTGGGGTAATATCTGTAGCCAGGTTAAAACGATGTTTGCCAAAAAACATGACATGACTTGTGGTCGGAAACCAGGAAAAATCGTCTTTCGGAGCGAAATTTTGAAAAATCAATGATTTAACATAAACAGCTAATATTAAAAGGACGTTAAGACAATGATTTCATTTTAATTTGACAAAATTTAACATTAAATCTTTTTTTTTATTTTCAAGTGTTTTACGGGTAGTCCAAAACAGGCAAAAATAGCGTCTTGTAACCCGATACTTTTTAGAACGCGCATAGCAATGGGAAAGAATGCCGTAGTAACAGACCGCCGTGAAAGTTTAACATATTAAATAACGTAAATGGTTGTGAGCAATAAGTACTCAAAGGTATACATAAACAAAATCGGTCATACAAATGCCATTTAAGAAATTGGAACAATGTATTTGGGATATCCGACTAGCCCAATTTCGAATTCACATTTTATTGCTCTTCTAATGAATGACTACCAATAATACCAACCTTTCGTCGATGCTTGACATCCGATCCATTTGGGCCCATTTTGTCCAGTTACCCCAGGAGGGCCGGCCGGCCCGATGGGCCCCTTGTCTCCTGGGGGCCCGGGTGGCCCAAGAGGCCCGGTAGAGCCAGGCGTACCAGCCTTTCCCTCAGGGCCAGCCAGCCCCATGGGCCCCCTCTCTCCAGGTGGCCCGGGCGGCCCAAGAGGCCCGGTAGAGCCAGGCTTACCAGCCTTCCCCACAGGACCAGCCAGCCCCATGGACCCCTTCTCTCCCGGTGGCCCAGGAGGCCCAGCAGGCCCGATAGAGCCAGGCTTACCAGCCTTTCCTTCAGGCCCAGCCGGCCCAATTGGCCCCTTCTCTCCTGGGGGCCCAGGAGGCCCGGCAGACACATTGCCAGTGGGCCCCTTCTCTCCTGGGGGCCCAGGCGGCCCTGGAGGCCCAGGAGGGCCGGCAACTCCAGCGACTTCACTCTGGTTTCCAGGCAAGATGAGCCCCACCTTTCCAGATGACCCAGGCATCCCTGGTGGAGTCGGTGGCTTCAATAGGCCATTTTCTCCCAAAGAGTAGTTTTGCCCAGGGAGCACACACATTTCTACAGGATAAATATGATGCTTTCATTTGTTAAACAGCCTAAGCAAAACGAAAAAAAAAGTACTGATACTGGAAGAAAAATGTCAAAAATTAATAATTATCTGATAGAGGAAAAGAGATATCGTATCCTTGTTATGGACAAAAAAGTCTTCTGGTGTGTATTTGGAATTCAATAATAATTCAATAATGTATTTGGAATACAATAAATTCAATAGTTGAGCACAGTTTAAAGCATGTTTAAATTTTCACTAGAGTGAAGAAAATGGATCATTACGCATGCTTTAAGGTGTCCCTAATGATAGAATTACGTTCCAGCTCGGTTATTCGCAGCTCACTAATCCTGTTTCGTGCTGTAAGCTTGGCCACGTCATCAGACACTTTAACTGCATCAAGATACAAAACAAAGGATTAATGTCGTTACATGTAGGTCCCGTGATTGGTCATTTAACCTGGTGATGCATTGACTTCCGGAGTTTTAATCCGGATGAAAAATTTGAATAACATTCTTCAAGTTTGAATGCAAGTAGCTATGAATGAATGAAAGAAAATGAGGGAGGGAGGGAGAGAGAGAGAGAGAGTGAGTAAAATCAAGAAAGAATAATCAGTAATATAGACGGTAATGTCAGTCAAATCCCTATGGAAAAATTGTTAAAGACTTCGAGTAGCATTGTCCAAATCAGGGGTATATAAAATGGAAGAAATATAACGAGATAACTTATGGACTTCTTTCAAAGGATACAAACTTAACATCCTAAAAATTCTCATTTGCAGGACAATAATAGTTTAATGCATTCAGCACATACAAGTACAAAGAACTAAACAACATGTGCAACGAAAGCAAACAGCATTCTACACACTATAGAAAAGACCAACCTGCAAATAATGGAAACAGTAAGATGCTGACCACAGCGAAGAAGAGACCTGTGACTTTCAGGAACTTCTTGCACAGGTGGATGCACTTCTTCACCTTGGTGTCTGCTGCTCCAATCATGTAGTCTAGTGGTGGAATGATACATCTACTAAGAATAACCTTCTTAAAGGCACACGGTGCGATTTGAGGGCGATAAAACTGGATTTTTCAATGTCAGTTTTCTGGTCATATTCCTTTATAATATATAATCTAGTACATGTAAGTTTAATCGCATAGTATTGTGAGCGGGGCCTGGTGGTGTATTTAACCCCCGGGTTCTTTTAGGATGTTGCCTAGAGAGACCTTTACGGAGAAGGAACAGACACAGGACGCAGGTCTTTGCCGTACAACATCGCCGGGGACTGGGACTCTCAACTGTCGACCCTCGCCTCTCACCAACTCTCGACAACTGTCTGTCCTTTCCACAGTCCCACGGCTTTACCTTTATTCATTTCTTCCAGACGGAGGTAGCACCTAAGTGAAAAAGCTACTGTCTGCCAGAGTCTAGACAGACACACCAAGATATCGTCTACTATCCTACTGTCATATAATCATTTGTTTTGATATTCCGCACTTCAAACGATCTTCAAAGACAACAATCCTTTTATAGTACAAGTTCGCACGTCTATGATAAAGAGTTCTTGATTACACATCTATGAATATGCGTAAGGGTTGTCATACTAATTACAGAGCGGAACGGGCGATAAAAAGCAGAACAAGGTGAAACACATTGCAAGAATGGAAATACAAATTACAGATAAAATACGACATTTTCCCATTCCTACAGTATATTGATAGCTGTGAGACAAAAATGCGATGTCATGTAGCCTGGTTCTGGGTATCTATGGGTGGTACCCCAGAAACGACAGGGACTCCTCACCTGGCTTGTTTTGGGTTTTTAAAGCTTTTTGTATGATTTGCCGCCCTGAAAACGCTTCGTATATGGCTTTGAACCCATGCTCACAACAAAAACAGCATCACAGGAGTAACGGTGGTAAATCACCCCCCCCCCC